AAACACATGAAGTGCTTTGGGTTCATTTCGCATACGCTACAACCGTTTGCAACATCCACATAAAACATCCACCACTTGGCCTACACTCAAGGGAGAAACAACTATCCTAGCCAGCAACGCGGGCCATGGAATTCGCAACTGTGGAAGACCAGACACAACCGATTACGCATGCCGTGCAGTTCATGGGCACTTTACATGTCTGGACAACACGGCACCAAAAACCGGTCTAGCCATGTACACGCATATCGCCCGACCGTCACCACCGCCCAAGTCATTATACTGTCATGCTTGGCCATATGCTTCGAAACGTCCTCGGCCGGTGACAACGGCCACGGAATCTGTAAGAACCGAAGCAGGATAACCACCTCCTGCTCTCAAAACAGCTCACCTTCGTTTCCTTGGACGTCAGTCAAAACTTGGATCAGAAGCGCCCTAGCCTGTATCGCTGTATGACGACCTTTTGCAATCTTTCAGTCCCAAACTCAAGCCCCTGTTCCGTGTGGCAAGGAATCCAGATGCGCTATTGGTTTGCAACAACCATGAATGCGGCAAGCCAGGTATGACAGCTACTGCATACAGTAAACTGATCGACGCACTCGCTATATTCACAGTGGAAGCAGTAGTGCACTCGCACTCATTAGCCAAACCCTGAAGACGTGTACGGAGTATGTCTATGTAACACTTAATCCAAGCGTACTCGAACAACAGATAGCTCCAGACACAGTTGTGCATTGACGTCGGCAACAGGAACCACATAAAACAAGGTCATGGGCGAGGGGACGTGAGATTCTAGAGTTGATGCTCTGCCCATGACCTTTAATTCATACTGATCCCTACATGCGGATCTTGTGAGGCAGGTAAACAGGGCAACGTGAAACTAGTGGCTCCGTTCTGCAGGCTTGTGTGTACTTGCGCAGGCAGTCTTACTTCTAGTCTACGCCTCCTGCTGGCAAAACTGTTGAAAACAGCCCATACTACTACTCCGACTAGAACAGACATCCAGTTTTCCTTTAGAATAGCTAGGCTGCGAGTTTTCCACCATTCTTGCTGTTCCGAACTTTGCTGTGCATGCTGTTCGGAATCCTGCTGCGCTGCAGCATCCACCTGATCTAGTTCAGCGATGCCATCACTCCAACTGGCAGCATTTTCATTGGAAGCTGAGGTGAGCACAGTCAATAGTGCCAGTGAAAGTAGAGCCACGATTTTTTCCATCTTCAGCAGTTAGCGGGGAATGCTGCTGTACCCGCCGGCAAAAATCCTTGCCCGGCAGTGAGCTACACTATCTCAAAAATCACTGGCGGAAAGTCTACAATATTGCGTAACTTTGGCTTTTGTGTTAGGACGAAATTAATGAAAATATTGGTTAGAACAACCCTCCAGCATGCTCCGTTCTACATGTGATTCAGCGGTCACGAGGTGATCGGTCCCTAAGCCTGGAACATCAAGGCTGCCTGATGGATGGTTGTGGCCGTGCCTGTTCTGATCAAGGTTCAGTTAGTTTCCCCTGATATTACAAACTTATTAGTAGTGCATCTTTTTGAACGCGAAGAAATTCTCAACGAAGGGAGGCCCGCTCGCCTCTTGGCACAGAGTGCAGTGAAAGGCCCACCAACTACTAGATGAACAGACCACCTACCTCCGTATGTTGATGGCCGGCAAAAGCGAAGATATTCTCCATGGAACGTTTTTTCTGCAATAACATTTTCGCTTGGATTGGATGCAGGAATTGTGCTTGCTTGACATCGACGCGGCTCGCATTTGTTGTGGGTCACCGCCTCTTGCACATTCGATAGTGAGCAGGATTTGGGGGGGTGACCCACAACTGGGAGCGTCCTCGCGGTTCGCTCACTTTCTGCAGCCCATCCACACGAAGGTGTTATTAAAACAAAAACGTTTCATGAAGGATACATTTGCCGTGGCCGACCATCACCATACTGAGGTCGGCACCGGGACACTCGAGGACTTATTTGCATATCTACAGCTTCAGTGTCGTTTCCAGCAGGCGTCAGAACTATTGCCACTTTCATTTTCGTTACTATAAGGGAGGCTATACGATGATAACTCTATCCTAGCACGGGTACTTCTTTGCCACATTCGCAGGACGACGAAATCCCGACCGCAGCAACGGCGTTTCACATGGCCAGAAGTAACAAATGCGATCATAGCAGGGAAAGTTACGTTGTGGCCGGGGTAGGGAGAGGTTAGCGATAACGCCAGCATCAGCGCGAAAAGAATGACTCTGGCGCCCTGACTCTGAGGGGCCTTATTGTTGTTACACGAGCTGTCTTTCAGGCATAGATGACATGAAGCCTAAAACGTGAGAAATCGAGTGAGGATAAGCACAATTATTCGTGGCTAGTTCGTGTGATCTCCAGTTTGACGACAAACAGGGATTATGGTCGATTTTCAAGTTCCTCTCCCCTCTTGTACACGAAGTAATTCATGCAGTGCTTGTATTGCGTTTCTTCGCCGGCAACTTCAAAACCAAACTCTTCCCTGCATGTACCTTCAATGGTCAAGTATGGCAATGTATTATTTGCTTCCTTAGGATCCGAAGTGGCTGCTGGTCGACGGGAAACAATGCTGCCGGATATGCGGAGTTCTATTCGAAGCACAGGGTGGGTGTGTTTTTGTGCACACACACCCTATGCTTCGTATATAACTACAAATATCCGGCAGCAAGTATTTTCTATACTTTCCCATTTTTTGAGTAGAGAAAACTCTCGTCGACTGGACACTGGCGTCGGAATATTATTGTGAATGCAGATCTACACGGCATAAGCAGGCGAAGCCACTCATCGCTGGCAGTGCCTGCGGGCATTTGCATGTTTCCGTAGTGATGCCTCACAGGCATTTTCTGATGTGAACTCTATAATCTCCGTACTTGCGTGCAAGAATGGCGTGGCCTGCGCATTGATTTGCTTTTATTTAACCGTCCCTCACTGGTGCCGAATTGTGCTTCTCATGATGTTGTGATGAATAGTTCTCCTTCCTGGCTTCTCTAGCACCGCCTTGCCAGTGGTGACGTTTCTCCGGAGACAGCAGTGGGCAAACGGGTTTGAGCTTTGCTTATTTAGGGGTGAATTCACTGTCAGTAGTTAGGGAGGTCGGGGTCCAACCTCCACGGACCTTATAAATTTGAGTAAGCTTCACGTTTTCGTGTCAGCCTCTAAGTGCATCTGCATAAATCGATTGAGGTTAGAGGAGTTGAAGATCATGAGCCATTACACAGGCGTGATAGTCGGCAGAACGCACTTCACGCTGCGGCAGCGGTGTGTGTTTGCGGTGTGTTTGTACGTTACGAACGTTCACGTGGAAACAAACTGGGAAGATACGCACAGGTGCAGTGGCTGGTGGGGTATCTCCATATCTTCATTAATGGGCAATTCTTCTCCAAAGGTTGTCGGCTCTGTGGACGATGCCACCAGCTCGTGTCATGCATCTAAGCATGTTGCTGCTTCGGTCAAACTCCGTCATGTTGGATTGCGTAATTCTCTGTCTCCGCCCGCCGGATTGTATTAGCCTGTGCCTCTGAAAAACACACAAATCACATGAGCATATGCGAGACGACTGCCACTTAAATCGAGCTGCATAGCCCTTGCGTATACGAAATCGCTCCATTTGCAGCGCATTCCAAGTGGGCAGGGAACTCACTCACTGTACACGGGACGAAGAAACTACAACAGGACTCAGCACGACACAACAGAAGCAAATGATAAGCCAGGAACTACCCGAGCCAGATCAGCGCGTCGACGGGAATGCAGCATAAACGCAGAGTAAAGCACACGCAGCACGACCCGTATGTCTGTTCCGCAGTCGTTTTGTCAAAGGGGAAACGAAGGCCGGAGAGGATAAGATAGTTCTGAGCCTCCGGAGGTTCCTAGTTGTTAAGTATCAACTTCCTGGTTAGATATCGAGCAATATTAAGACATACTATGGTGCATTAATTGAGCGGTAGCCGAACGCAATTGCAAAGCCACTTCGCACCACCTTGTTGTCCACTCAGGGTCGTACGGCATCGCAAAGGGATGACCAGCGGTACCGATAGCAACATGCTTTGCTACGATTCGCACAGCTTCCACGGCAGAGGTAGGGTGTGCGCCTTCTTCTCGTTTTGCTATAACACTTGCGATAATCCGCAGCAATGTAACTTCCTAAGCTGCTGTACCATACTGCACACTGCAACCAGAAGGGTATGCCCGCTCGACCACGCTCTGCCTACCCGTGAACACAGGAGCCACGCATAAGTATACATCTATATGAACAGACATCCTCGTCTGAGGGATAACAGCACAGAAAGACCAAAGCCCCGTGCAGTTATCTATTCAAAATCGCTATTATCCAGCTTTAGGCATGCATGCATGCATAGAGTATGCGTAGCCTGTGGCGGTTTTGGCTGCTCCCAGTCAAACAACATCCATTCATGCAGCTCGCATGCATGCATAGATGCAGGCATAGATGCATGCATTTATCTATTGAAGCATGCATGCATGCATGCGTGCATGCATGCGTCTATTATTTGTGGCTGACTAAGTTAGCCGTAGTGTTATAGTAAGCTTCTGCTTGTTTGGGTGTAACAAGAAGAAAAGGATAACCGTCACCATTAAGAAATAAACACTCATTGAGTGTTTTGCTGGTGATGATCGTAGGTCTATAAACCTCCTCTGCATCGCCTATAATCTCTGTTGCTGCTGAGGGTTTTTCTTCCTCATTTCCTGTCATGTTGTATGTCCTTGCTCTACAACTTGCTTTTGCCGCTGCTTCTGCTGCTGCTGCTTCGGCTGCTGCTTCTGCTGCTGCCTCCTTGTCCCTTGATTCAATGTGCGCTGCTGCTGCACTTATGTCCTCCACAGCTATTGCAATGTGCAGGAAACCCGGGTGTACAGATACCTACACAGCAGCAGCAGTAACAGTAACGGCAGGAGGAGCAGCAGCAGCAACAGGAGCAACAGTGCAGTTTCCCTCCACGTATCGTCTAAAAACTATAATTAAACAACTCATACAATATCAAAGCAGACAGGCAAAGGAGCCAGACAGACAAAGGAGACACGAAAAGCCAGACACTAAAAGGAGACACTAAATAAAAGGAGACACTAGATAAAAGGAGACACTAAATAAAAAGAGAAACTAGATGAGACAGTACGTTTGCTTACTTTATCTTCGTCATATGCATAAGCAACTTGTATTTGTGGTAATATTCTTTCTGCTGCTTCTGTTTTAAATACTTCTGCTGCTGCTGCTGCAGGGTTAGCAGCAGCAGGACCTTCCCATTCAGTAGGTATAGCGGTGTTGCCTACAGAGATATCTCCACCTCCTGCTTCTGCTTCTGCTTCTGCAGTAGCAGCAGCGGCAGCGGTTGTTGCTGCTGCTGCTGTTGCACCCTCCTTGGCTGCTGCTCGTGCATGCAGTGCTGCTGCTTCGCATGCATACGTGCGGCTTGTTGCAGCAAAACGAGTCCAGGGGAATATTCGCTCTAGCAAGTGACTCTTATAACGGAGCAGCTGCAGCAGCAACGGCAGCATACAACAGCACACAGCAGCAAAACCCTAAGCCCTCTTCATATACAGTAGCAGCTGAGGCACCTACACAGCAGTATACGTGCTGCAGTTAAATATACGTTTGTTCCCTCTCTCTTGAGCTGCAGAAGCTGCTGCTGTCTCCCCTGCTGCTGCTGCTGCTGCTGTCTTTTGCTGCTGCGTACCTTCATCTGAAGCAAAGTCCCAAAGAAGCGATCAGCAGCAAGTTGCGACTCCGTGTACAGCCGAACCTGCGCAGACACGCAGCAGCAGCAGCAACAGGTGTAGCACCAGCAGTACCTGTAGAACCTGCAACACCAGCTGCAGCAGCATGTGCAGCAACAGCATCAGGAAAGTGCAAGTAAGAAAGTGATTTACCTTTTGCAATCGAGGAGACAAAGGCCCTTTGTGCTGCAGTGCAGCACCTGCTGCTGCTTTCTCTCTTTCCCGCTGCTGCTGCTGCTGCTGCTCTTCTAGAGCATCAATGATTTTCTGCTTCGCATTGCATTCATCCAATTGCTTTTGTAGTTTTTCTTTTTCTTCTTGTAGTCTTTCAATCTCCTGCTGTTGCTGCTGTTGCGTCTGTTGCTCCCGCTGCTCCTGCTGCTGGTCCTGCAGCGCTCCGTCGTGGCCTTGCTCCTGGTCTTGTTCCTGCTGTTGCTGCTGATGCTGCTGTTGCTGCTGTTCTTGCTGCTGTGGTTGCTGTTGCTCCTCCTGTTGCTGCTTTTGTTTCAGTTGTTCGTCGATATCTCGTATCTGCTGCTGCAGCTGCTGCTTTTCCTGCTGCAGCATAATATCCGCTTCTTGTTCAACCATATAGGTTTGCCATGTATTAAGTGCTGCTTCTTGTTTCCTTGCACTCGCATTTAAATACATGTTGCTGCTGCTGCTGCTGCGAGTCAGCTGCTGCACCTCTACACCATTGCCGTCAGGGTCTAATAAGAAACAACTCTGACCCCACAGCTCTTGACGCGCCTACACACAAACCCTAAACCCTAAACAATGAACAATAAACCCTAAACCCTAAACAATAAATCCAAAACCCTAAACAATAAACAATAAACAATACACCCCAGGCCCTGAACCCTAAAACATAAACCCTCAACAAAATAAACCCTCAACATAATAAACCTTTTGGTGTTTGTATGCCTGCAAGCAAAGGAAGTTCTACATTCTGTCATCGCTTCCTGCATAAGGTTAAGGGCATATAAAGGTTTACTAGGGTTTATTAGTGTTGGATACTTAGGGTTTAGGGTTTAAAAGGGTTTATAAAGGTTTACATCTTGATCAGGGACCATAGAGGGTAATTGTCTTCTCTTAGCAGGGCAGTGCAGCAGCAAACCGCCAGTTTGCTGCACCCGCCGCTGCTGTAGATGCTGCAGCGACGGCAGCAAGAAGGAGAAGCCAAAGAAGCCATGGTATCCTCTATCATGCCTTCCTCTTCTTTTCTCATATGTACGCATGCGGGAGAGACTAGGCAGCAATGTGCTGCTGCTGCTGGTGATTCTGTTGCTGCTGCTGCTGCCAGTTTTGCGCTGCAGCAGCGCCTGCTCCTCATGTAGCCTAAATGCCTCTACAGCAGCCATGAGACTTTTCTCTTCTGCCTTAATTGCTGCACTTGTTGCTTCTTCTTTTTCTTTTTGCTGCTGCGCCCATTTGCTGCTGTATACTAACTCCAATTTAAACCCCCAACAGTTTCCTGCTGCTGCGATTGCTGCTCCTCCTGCTCCTTCTCCTCCTTCTTCCGCTGCTGGAGGGGCGTATGCAAGCAGCACAACCTCCTCTACAGGGATTGTCTCTTTGCTTCTAAGGAGAATATTTCCTTTTATTGGCTCCCATAGGAAGGGGGCATCTTCTTGTAGCCCTTTATCTGCTGCCGCTGCTGCTGCTGTTGGTGTTGTTGCTGGTGCATCTGGTGCATCTGCTGCATCTGTTGATGCAGGCTTCCATCGCCCCACAACCTGCATGCCTAGCAGTTCTGTATAAAACTTTACCATTGCATGCAAATTTAATGTTAATAAACGCACATGCAGCAAACGAGAGGAACCTAGGGGTTCTCGTGGCACTGCTGCTGCCTCTGCTTCTACTGCTGCTACTGCTGCTTCTGCTGCTGCTGCGGCGGCTTCTGCTGCTTGTGCTTTTACTGCTTCTGCTGCTGCTGCTGCAGCCTTTTCTGCTTCTGCTTGTGATGCTTCTGCTGCTCCTTCTGGTGGTGGTGGTTGTTCTACTGGTGCTGCTGCTGCTTCTGTTGCTTCTGCTGGTTCTGCTGGTGCTTCTGCTGGTTCTGCTGGTGCTTCTGCTGCTGGTGCTGCAAAAGAACTGGTTCTCCATCTTCTACTACGCAACTCAGATATTACACCGCTCCTGCAAGATCCCGCCACAGTAGCAGGAGCAGCAGCACGCGCTGCTGCTCCTGTTGCCGCAGCAGCATTGCTGCTGCACGGTTGTAGAGCTGAGTGGAGTTGTGTAGTTGGAAGGAAGAATGCCTCAGATGTGCAGCAAATGCATGCAAACCATATCAATGCTGCTGCTGCCGTTGCTGCGCCGCGGAGCAGCAGCAGTCGCGGCAGAAGCAAGGGAATGGGTCCCCGAGGGCGACTCCAGCAGCAGCAGCAGCGCATGGTACAAACACAGGGCAGCAGCTACGGGCCCTCTGGAAGGGCGGGCCCCCCCCCCCATAAAACGCAGTGCCCCTCACCAGCGGATCTCCTGCTGCTGCTGCAGCAGAAGCCGCTGCTGCTGGTGCTGCAGCGCCAGCTCAAGCAGCTGGTGCTGCAGCGAACGGGGCAAAGACCAGCTGCTGCCTTCCGCCGGCTGCTGCTGCTGCAAGTTGCCCGTACAACCGCGATGCTGCGATATAGTGTATAAAAAAAGATACTTCTTTTGTACTATTTATAATAATTCCTTTTTGTTTAATTATTATAATATTATTTATTTATTTAATATTCTTTCTCTCTTCAGCTGCTGCCCCTGCAAACGTCGGGGGGCCCCCCATGGTACAGAAGAACAGAGGTACCTTTTCCGGGAGGGGGGCCCCTGGAGGGCCCCAAAGACAAGGTCTCTATGGTGTTCGGCTCCTGTAAGGAGCTGAATTTGTGTTTACTTACTTTTTGTTTCTTTTATTTATCTTTTATTTGAAGGTTTACAATTTATTTATTTGCTGCATTTCAAGTAGCAGCAGCAGCAGCAGCATCAGCAGCAGCATACGTTGATTGTTAGAGGGTTTGCTGCAGCATAAATGGCTTTGTTTAAATGTGCATCTTTAGGTGTATGCAGGGATAAATATATCTTGTGGTGGTAGCACCAGCAGCAGCAGCAGCAGGATTGGGGTGTATGTACAGCATGCAAGGCAAAAGAAGATTTAAATCTATTATTATTATTATTTTTTCCCTTACACAACTTTCTTTGTCTCTCTGCTTCTTGAGGGCCCCTTGGGTGGCCCCCTGGTGCAACAGTCGCCTCCCACCTTCCCCTGCTGCTACAGCATCAGCAGCAGCTGCTGCTAGGAAGGCTGTTATCTGCCTCTTTTCCCTTAATCCTCAAGGACAATCTGCTGCAGCAGCAGAAGAATATCTGCGGCTTCGGAATACTTTTTGTAATCTTGCAGATTTTAAAGACGGGCAAGAAGTGCTGCAGCAGCAAGAGCAGCAGGAACTGCAGCAGCAGCGAGAAGCAGCAGCGGCTGCTGCTGAATATAAAAGGGTTCGTTATATCTAGGGTTTACGATTTAGGGTCTCCTTTCCTTGTCTCCTTCTCTCTCCCCTATCTCTCTCACTTCTTCCTAATTGAATTACCAGTTGCTGCTGCATTTGCTTCTGGTGCTGCTGCTGCTGTATCCTTAATTGTCCCTTTTGTTTCCTTTTATGCAGATAAAACATAAAAGACAACAAGCACATAAACAATCAAGAAAAAAGGAAATTTATCTAAGTGCACGGTAACCTACACAGACGCCCTTAGCTGCAGCAGCAGCAGCAGCAGTAGCAGCAGCTGCTGCTGCTGATGATGATGATGATGCTGGAGGTGTTGCAAAGACAGGCTGCTGCAGCATTTGTACAACAGCTGCTGCTGCTGCTGCTGCTGCTGTGTGTATTTGCTGTAGCATAGCCGAAGGGGATCTGCAACAGAAGGCAAGGAAAGCTAGAGAGTTATTACTAGAAAAACATCAGGTATAGCTGCAGCTGCTGCTGCACCTCGTGCTTGCTGCTGCTACTGCTGCTGCTAGGGTTGCTGCTCTTCTGCTGCAGCAGGGGTTTAGAATGTTTCTTCTCGTGCTGCTGCTCGTACATTAGCGGTTTCAGTTGCTGCATCAGCAGCACCAACTGCAGCAGCAGCAGTCTGCGTCCTATGTATATGCTGCTGCATGCTATTTAGGTGAAGTTCGTGCTGCAGCTGCGGGGAAGGGAGAGGGCAAACCCTCAGAGTTATCTCCCGCTGCTGCAGCAGCTGCAGCAGATGCTGCAGGATGTGGGGCGACCAGCAGCACAGCAGCAAAATAAAGGGAATTCTTCTGCACTAACTCTCTTCTTACAACCCTGCAAAAGAAATAACCCTAAAACGGGACAGCAGCAACAGCAGGGGCAGCAGCGGGATGAGCAACAAGTAGTGCAACAGGAGGAGGTGCAGCAAGAAGAGCAGCAGGAGCAGCAGCAACAGCAGGAGGATTCTCCCGATATAAACGAATAATTGAGCTAGACATATTACCCATCTGTTGACGCCCCAGACAGCTAGCTAGCTAGCTAGCTGCTTTGGCGGTAACCATGGCTTGGGCCAGCTAGCTACCTAGCTATCCGCCTAGCTCCCTGCCTAACTACTCAGCTGGCTAGCTAGCCAACTAGCTAGCTAGCTAGTCTGTTTGGGATGGTGCATGCGGCAGAAGGAGACATCTGCAGTAGCCTCTTGGTGGTAACGCAGCCGCAGCAGCAACGGAAGCACCAAGAACCGCAGCAGGAGGGACTGCAGAGTTGCACCTGCTGAACTAAATAGCAGCAGCAGCAGCAGCAGCAGCAGCAGCCGAACGGCTACATTTTTCTTGTGGGGTGTACAGACACCGGCGACTCGTACGATGGTGCTGCCCATCCAGCTGCATCCCCTAACTAGCTAGCTACCTAGCTAGGTACTAAGCGATATATCTACCTAGCCTCTTGGCTGGCTAGCTAATTGTTGGCAGCTATCTGGTCAACTGTCTTGCTAGCTGGTTGGCTGGACAACTCTAGCTGCCTAGCCGGCTAGCTAAGACAAATAGCCAGCTAGTTAGCTGTGGTGTAGCTGCAGAAGAAGGATGAAAGGATAAGCGGGGGGATTATAAGACAGCATTTAACCGCAAATGTAAAACAGCAGCAGGGGCCCCTTATGGGGGGCCCCCATGGGGGGGCCCCCACTGGGAACCCCCTTTTGGAGGCCCCCCACGGCTTACTCAGTACCCTCCGCTGCAACGTCCCTACCCCGGGGGGGCCCTTCCTCCCTCTATGAGGCCCTGCTTCCAAAGGGGGCCCCTAGACGCCCCTCTGCGCAGAGGGGCCCCCAACTGGGGGCCCCCCCAGCTACGGGGGACCCCAAGTTGGGGGGGTCCCAAGAGGGGGCCCCTAGTAAAGGTCCCCATTAGGGCATTAACCGTGTGGGGCCCCTGGTGGTCCGCAAGGGCCCCCCTCTCACTTTCTGCCGCCTCCCGGCCTCTGGGCGATACCTTGCTGCAGCAGCTGCTGCTGCTGCCGTAGCCGCTGCTGCTGCTGCAGCTGCCTCCACACCAACTCCTCGAATTCATCGCTTTGCATCGCAGCAGCAATTGCCTGTTTAAGTGCAGCACGAGACACAATGACGGTTTCCTCTTCAGGCCTTGCTGCTGCTGCTGCTGCTTCTGCTGCAGCTGCTCTCTCCCGCGCGGCTGCTTGGCCCGCTGTAGTATCCCGCTGCAGCAACACCAACACACAACAGCAGCAACAGCAGCAAGTGAGCAATATAAAGGTACAACTAAATGCTTGACTTACCTACCCCACTAAATAAACAGCTAGCTATAAAACTAGACAGTTAGCTACCTAGCTAGCTAGCTAGCTATTTAATGTCTTACAGTTATCATCTGTAGGAGAGAACGACTACAAAACTCCCCTGGGTAAACTGCTGCTGGTGCTGATGCTGCTGTTGGAGGACGAGCTGCTGCTGCTAATGCTGCTGCAGCCTCTCCTGCTGCTAATGCTGCTGCTGTTGGTGGCCTGCGGCGGTAGTCGTCCTCCCGCTTAGAGCCCATACCATCACCTGCACTTGGGGCACCTGTGTGCTGCTGCTGCTGCTGTTGTTGCTGTTGTTGCTGCTGCTTCCGTTGTCTCTGCAATTGTGGCATATTTTGATGGTGCTGCTGCTGTTGTTGTTGCTGCTGCTGGTGCTGCTGGTGTTGCTGCTGCCGCAGCAAATTAATGATTGTATTCCCCCCATCACTACAGGAGGGGAGACTTCTTGTCCTAAGAGGCCCAGCACCCTCGTCCTCTGCTGCTGCTGCAGATGCGGCTGTTGCTGCTGTTGCTGCTGCTGTTGGTGCAGCAGAATGTCGGGCGTTGTCTCCCTTAGCAGCATTATACGACTTCTCAAAGTCACTGGGTATAGGTACACCTCCAGTTAAAACAGATAACAAAGCCTGCAGCAGCAGCAGCAGCAACAGCAGCAACACCAGCAACAACAGCAGCAATCGCAACGGTCATTTCGTTATGAGACCGCAGGAAACGCCAATAGAGCAAAACTACGACGAGAAAGCACAGAGAAAGCAAGCAGCAACAGCAGCAACAGCGGCAACGGCAGCTGCAGCAGCAGCAACTACAGCAATAGCTAAAGGTGCAACAGCGCCAGTAGCTGCTGCTGGTTCTTAAGGCCTCACCTTGCCCGCCTTCTCCCTGTTCGCTTCCTTTGTTCGTTCGAGGGCTGATTGCTGCTGTTGTTGCTGTTGTTGCTGCTGTTGTTGCTGCTGGTGCTGCTGCTGTTGCTGATGATGATTGTGCTGCCGCTGCTGTTGGTTGTTCTCATGTCCTGGATTTGGCGCTACGCCCGGGGGGGTTATTCCTGCTGCTGCTGGTGCTGATGTTGCTGCTGGTGCTGATGCTGCTGCTGGTGCAGCAGCAGCAGCAGCTGCCGCTGCTGCCCCCTCAGACTCAAGGACCTCCTGCAGCGCCTGGTGCAGCCTCTGGCGCTCCTTGTCGCTGTGCATCCACAGCCCGTATACAGCACATTGGTCCTGCAGCAGCAGCAGCAAGAAGACAATGCATGCAGTTGAAGCAAGAGTCCCCCCACCCAGACAACTAACAGCAGCAACAGCAGCAGCAGCAGCAATTTACCTCATTATCTTCGTGTATGTTATAGAAGACATGACTAGCTCAGCCAAACACCACCAACAAAGCAGTAAGAGAGCAACACACGTGCACCCCCCCCACCCCCG